CTGATAAACAAGTGTGGAGGAAGGTACCATTCACTCATCAATAACCAGAAAGAAAGCAGAAAACAGGTCAAAAATCTTCTAGATAAAATAGAGGAAATGGTGGAATTTAATGGAGGAAGTCACTACACCAATGAGATGTATAAGGCAGCCCAGAAGAGACTTGAAGAAGAAAGGGAAAAGAAGAGGAGGGAGGAAGAGCAAAGAAAAAGGGAAGAAGAGGAGAGGATCAAATTAAAAGAGTGGCGTAAAATGATATTATATACATCTGCAGCACTTTTGGGTGCAGGGCTGTTTTATACCTCACCTTTTCTCGTGGCAGTAGCTTCAGGACTTGGCTTTAATTGCATAATAAGTGTGCTTACTTGGGCCTTACACCTTTACAAAACAAAAAGGCCAATATATAATGGCTAACACACTGGGCATCAAATCTTTGTCATTTGGGATTAGGTGGTTTTAAATTACGTTTCAATTCACTTTATATTTACTTTATGTTGCATTTATTTCTAATCTAATGTGACAGTTTTTTTAATAGAGTATTTTTTTGTCAAATCACAATTTAAGTATATGTGAAACAACTGTGAAACAGATTTGTAGATATATTAATATTTTAAATTCATCGCACCGTAACAATGTACCACAGTAGAACCATCCTCATTTAGTTCAGTTCAAATTTATGTATATAGTGCCAATTCAAAACCACATTTTCTTCCAGGTGGTGTATATTCTAAGACAGTGTTTCCCAACCATTTGGAGCGACTGCACATATTTCACATTAGAAAAATCACACGGCACACCACCAAACAAATATGTAATTTTTCTCTGCACACCAGGCATAGTGAAATTGGCTTGATTTGAAAAAATAAGCTTTTATTTGTATATTTTGAAATAGGAATATATATTAAATAATATTATTTTATATTATCTTACATTAAATCTGAAACATAATGATACAAAATGTCTTTAGCTTTACTGTACATTTTTGCTGTGTGAAACAAACAGTGGTGGTTGGGAGTTGGAGTAAAGAGGATAACAGTGGAGGAATTATATCCTTGAACTTAATTATAGCACTTTCAGAAAGACCTCTAATGTCTCCGCCACTCATTTGTACTAGTTAGGGCACACTGAGCTACTTTTTATTAAGATGATTCATAAACTTACACTCCTTGTAAGTGATGATATCTATTTAATTCTAGATTATATTTGGTTGGTTTTTTAAGTGTATCAGTTCAACAGTAGAGTTGCAGACTTTCTGAATTATTCTGTAGCACACCATTCACTGGCAAAGATGAAGTGACAGTAAACACTGATGAGTGTATTGAGCAATCAGTTCTTGGACACCACACTTTCCTTTTAGTGATCAGTCTGAACTGAGGTTCAGACAAGAGTAGCAGGACACTGTGAAGCGGATTCAGGATACTGTTGTTGCAGATGCTTCCACATAAACCATAGTCCTGCTTACAGATGCTGTTTTGCTTGAGGGTAAATCCTTCGATGTTTATGTGAAAGAGAACAAAAATTTAAAGAAACTAATATGTGACTCAGAGAAGATATTCTCTCTTTAATGACCCAAGTTAGAATCTAATCCAAGTCAGGGAAATTCTAGGTTAAACAGAGAACATAGTAATATTCAGTGGATGGTATTACTACATCAATAAGATAGGAAACCTAGAGTAAATGTGCAGGGGGAAGCAAAGACTAGAGCGAAGACTTGCCAGGGACCTTTTGGTGTAAAAGCATGTTGCCCCTCATATGTTCTGGTGACACTAGTTGGAGCACTTGGACACATTCAATTAAATGGCACAATGGACCTTTTTCCTTAGGCATGAGTTCTATGATGGAAAAAAGTGAAAATAATGGCTAAGAATGTGGCAAATAATAACTTTCAATAACATGTACTTTTAAAATGTTTGCATTCCATCCATCCGCATGAAAGGAATTTTTGAATACACTTGTTTTCCATTGTTATTTACCTATTGACTGTTTGTTTATAGTTTTGCTTTTTTGTCAATTAAAATGGGAAACAAAAAAGAGACTTTGATCGTGGGTGATCGTGGCTCAAGAGTTGGCAGTTCATCTTGTAATCGGAAGGTTGCCGGTTCGAGCCCTGGCTCGCACAGTCTCGGTCGTTGTGTCCTTGGGTAAGACACTTCACCTACTTCCTACTGGTGATGGCCAGAGGGGCCGATGGCGTGATATGGCAGCCTTGCTTCTGTCAGTCTACCCCAGGGCAGCTGTGGCTACAACTGTAGCTTGTCTCCACCAGTGTGTGAATGAATAGTGGAATTGTAAAGTGCTTTGAGGGTCTCGAAAAGCGCTATATAAATGCAATCTGTCATTATTATTACTTCAAATACCAAACATCTACCAAAGTAAAACCATTTTCATCTGTACTGACCTACAACTCTAGGCTCAGACAGATCCTTTTCTTTTATTTTAAATTTCTTTACATTTTTTTTAAAAAAAGAATAAGATGAACTTGAGAGATATTCTTGACCCCCTCATGCTCCTTTAAAAAGAGAGCAAAGTCATAGAGTTATTGTAAAATATATACATTTCATATAAATAATAAAATATTCTTATGCGATTAAATGAGAAACCTTAATATTTTTGTTGGTTTGCTATGAAAACTTCTCAGCAATGTCCAAACACAAACCTGTTAACCATATTTAGAGGGCTGCGGACAGCCTACACAGACAGTTTTCACATTTCAAACTGAAGACAATACAAGGAAATGGGAAGCCCCCAGTGCCTAGGCTTCCAGAAGTTTCCCACAAAACGAATGTGAAATGTGTCGAGACACAGTCTACGTTTGTCTTGTCTAAGTTCAGAACTCAGGTCTGAAAAAACTGACTTGGCCACCTGGGACATATAAAGCAAGATCTGAAGTAATGGCTGAAGGTAAGATCATCTCTCTGAACTAGTTTTAAAAAGTGCACTAATTATTTAATTACTCTAGGATGTGATATTGATACACTGAAAAGGGCAAAAGAGGCAAAGTCAAAAAGATGCAGACCTTCTTAAAGATGTCAGTGACTAATCTTACCTTTTCTTTCTCTCAATGGTGTAACTTGTGACAGAAATACAACTCAGAGAAAAGAAGCAGAAAACTCTACCTCGGTCTGATGGGTGTGGTCTGAAAAACGTTGATGGTATGCTCCTTCATTTTCTCTCTAGTCACTCGACTCTACTAGTAGCTGTTCTACTCTAATTTCAGTAATTATGTATCAGAATCAGAATACTTTACTAATCCCAGGGGAAATTATTTGGTCACAGATCACAGGAGCTCCAAGACAGTAAGAACAGTAACTAACAACAATATATAAATGTTGTTTTATTTACTTTTTTAAAAAAACAACAACAAATGAATGAATAGTATATTTCAAGGAAAATATGCTAAAGGCTTTTTTTTCTCCAGACAGTCCAGAGATTAAATTAAACAACAACAACAACAAAACACACTAACTTAAGACTAACAAGGCAGAAAAGAAAGGATTCTTTTTTTTTGGTAAATGCCAGTAATTCTGTGTCTGTTGTTTCTACCACAGGTCTGGATTTGTCTGGAGGTTTGAGGATAGTCTTAGTGGGAAAGACTGGATCAGGGAAGAGTGCAACAGGAAACACTATCCTTGGAAGAATTGCCTTCAAAGAGGATCCCAGCTCTGTGTCTGTGACCAAACACTGTGAGATGCAGAGAGGGGAAGTGGATGGGACTTTGGTGCAGGTTATTGACACTCCGGGTCTGTTTGATACAGGCATCTCAGAGGAAGAATTAAAAGTCAGAATAGAGGAGTGTGTCAAAATGTCAGTTCCTGGCCCTCATGCTTTCCTACTGGTAATCCGGCTTGGAGTAAGGTTCACGGAGGAGGAAAGAAATGCTGTTAAGTGGATCCAAGATAACTTTGGAGACGATGCTTCCATGTACACAATCATGCTGTTTACGTGTAAAGATCAAGCTAAAGCTGACAATGCGCTGAAGGAGTGCAAGGAGCTGCGGAGACTGTCGATCACATTTGGACGCAGATATCATGCTTTCAACAACACTGACCTGGATGACCGCGCACAGGTAAAAGAGCTGATCAACATGATCAAGGAAATGGTACAGGATAACGGCGGTAAGCACTACACGAATGAAATGTATGAGAAAGCCCAGAGGAAGCTGAGAGAGGAGGAGGAGCGGAGGAAACAAGAGGAGGAACAGAAGAAAGAGGAGGAAAGGAAAATATGGGATGCAGAGAGACAGAAGCAGGAGGAAAAGAAAATCAGGAAGAAAAAGGTTCAAAGAAAGAATATACGCGTGGCCGCAGCTTCTGCTGTTGTCTTGGTGTTTGCTGGGGTGGTCATTGCAGTGGGAGCTAACACCACAGTGGCCCTGGCTCTAGGCGCCCCTGCACTTGTCCTGGGAATCTTATGCGGTTTATCTGCCATTTTCATTTGGAAAGGCATAAAATGCAAGGCTAAAGCAAACGTGCCTGTATAACAAGATGGAGGGTAGTGGCAAGGATATGGTTTGGCTACAGTTTGTGTCACTGAACAAAAAACAGAAATATTCCATATACAGTATTAGTATCCCACACATTATGGTTTGGAACTATGCGTAAGTGACTTGTTTAGGTTCTGTTTCTGTTTCAAAACAAGTATGTGAATTTAAAGCTAATAGTAAACAAATGGTATGAAATGTACTTGTTTGTCTTTTTTATCGTTTACATCTTATATATGAATGTGAGGATCACTTCTTTTGGCTCATTAGCAGGATTCAAAATAATTAATATTAAAACCCAAATGTAAAAAGATTTTTCACCTATAGATTATACCTTGGTAACTTATAACTGTTAAAATGCGCAGACACTGACACACTGCTTCCTTTACTTTTTATTAGTAGCATTCTGAGCTCATTTCCCCAAAGGAAATGAGAAACAATGGTAGACGTCCATTGACCCATCACGTCTGCGGAAACAGAGCAAGTCCTCATTGTCCTGCCACTACAACAATGTCAGTGCATACCATCAGTACAAACATGACCAGCACAGATGTTAAATGAATGGTAGTCAGTTTCTGTCAGCCACAAAAGGATCAAAGTAAGGATACTGCTACTTGTTCTGCAATTAAGAACAAAACACACTGAAGCTGAACATTATTTATTTAAAATTACAAATGAAAGGAGGCTCAGTATCAAATAACGGGTGTGTTCAGATGTGAAAAGGTTGTAAACTGAGTTGTGGTGCTTCAAATGTACAGGTTATACTTTAAATGCCAACTACACCTACAACCTGTATTACAGGTTAGATTGGTCTATTTTGGTCTGTTTGACTAATACCTGCAATGGAAAGAGTGTTGTGTATTATTTGCTAATGAATCTTACAAGAAAACTTGTACCAAGAATCATTTCTTGTTTTTCAGTTTCATTTGTCATAAGTGCAGTTTGTTTAGTTATTATGCATTTTGTGTTTATTTCCATCCATTTATGCCAAGAAAACCTTATGACCTTTCATATAGTCTAAACCAGACATAGTGTAAAATCAAATTATTTTAATGCAGTTTGAATGTGATATCATAACATGGTCATTTAGCTGTCAGCCAGTGTATGATTAGTGTTGTATATCGGCAAGACTGATGAATTTCAACTTGGAGGTTTTTCCACAATCTTGGTGGTGGGGCATGAGCAAAAAAGAACTAACGACGTTCTGGTGGATGACTTTATTTAAAACAATGAAAGAAGACATTAGCACAAGAAATGGCATTGATTTTAGTGGAATATGTACTTTCAAATGCCCTTTTATAGGAAAATTAAATATAAAACTGTAAATCAGATCATACATTAAATTTAAAAACAAAAAACCCAATCCTGACAAGAATTTACAGTAAATATCTATAATGAACCGTAAGTATCAGATGACTTCAGGTACATAGTCCAGCTTGTCTATCATTACACAACAGATGATTTGAATAAGTCGCACCATTGTACAAGAAAAACAAATTGAAAAAAGAAAAACTACTTAAAAAGTGCTGTAAATGTTGTAATATAATACAAAGATGAGAGAGTAGTGACAATGCAGATTAAAATATGATTAAGTGATGTTGAATCATTTTCTTTTTGCTTCACCTCTACATAACTATATGTTTTTAATAAATATTCTCTTTTTTTGATTATCTATGGAAACAAACTATTGCATGATAAAAAAAAAAAAAAAGCATTATGAAATAAACCGTACACTAAACCTGATGATCTTCATAAAGTTTAAAACAGCAGGTATAATATCAAGCGTGAATTTGTCCTTGTATACAAAAAGCCTCTTCTTCATAAAGAGACTTCATAAAGGTCGTGGCTTGGCATAACTTAGCTGTTCTCTGTTTTAGGTCTGATCCAGCCCCCAATGCCTTTAACAATCCCTGCTCCTACAAACATTAATAGAGGCCGAACGGAAGCGACTGCTGCTTCCTCTGCCATTACAGCAGCACCAACTGCAGGTGCAGCAGCTGCCGCTCCTGCCGCTCCTGCCACAAGCAAATAATTACCAGCAGAGTTCAATGTGTCTCCACATTTGCGCCACCATTTGTTCCAATTCATCTGTTTCTGGGCCTCTTCGTATTTGCTGCCGGTGTAATGGTTCCCGTTTAATTGCACTGTCTGGTCTATCTTTTCAAACAGATCAGCTACCTGAGTGCGATTTTTCTTGCATGTGTTGTCAAATACAACATACCCAGCTTTACACTCAGAGATGAGCTCCTTCAGATCAGGACTTTGCTCTAAGTAGTTTTCAAAGGATCTTTCTTTGAACTGATCACCCCTTGTGAAAAGCACTGCTGTATATTTTGAGGCTTCATCCCCAAAGTTTTCTTTGATCCATTTTACAGAACTCTTCTCTTCTTTTGTGAAGCGCACATCCAATCTGATCACTAGCAGAAACATATGGGGTCCTGGGACAGACAGCATTATACATTTTTCTATTTCCTTTTTCAGTTCCTCTTCTTTAATTGATGTGTCAAAGATTCCAGGGGTGTCAACAACACTCACAGTTCTTTCATCAAAATGTCCAGTCTCTTTCTTACACATCTTTGTTACAGAAGATGGAGATATTTCTTCGTCAAAAGCTTTGTAACCCAGGATAGTATTCCCTGTTGCACTCTTTCCTGAGCCAGTCTTCCCCAGCAGAACAATCCTCAAGTCACCGATCACTGGGGAGAAGGAGTCTGTGGGGATCAATTTTAAAAAGCAAAACAACTCATGGGTTCTGGATTAGGTTACATAAGCATGTTAGAAAACGCGTGCATGCACAAAAGTAAAAATACCAACCTTCAGTTGTGGTTAAACCCATCTTGCTGTAGGGAAAAAGAGGAACAGGAAAAACCACAGAACCTGTCTGTTATTCCGTGTAATGTTTTCTTCTACAGCAGGTATGTTCGTACTGAGGCGTGCCAGTCACCCTCTATCGTGTTTTTGTCTCTGGGTCTCTCCAACACAGTGTTTTCCAGTGAAATGAAACTCTTGCTCACCACAGTGGGTTTCAGTGAAATGAAACTATTCACAGCACAGAGGTTTCAAAAATACTAGAACTTTAAACTAGAACTTTAGGTAAGATGTTGATAAGTAGGCTCAAAATAGCATTTTAATTTGCTTAAAAATAGACTTTACATATTAAATTTTATGCTATTTCATTACATTTCACATCATTGTGAAGCTACTTCTTTTTTAATGTGTGCAAGTGGTTTTATGGTGTTCTTAGTATATTTTAATTATAATTTAATGTTAAGTATATCTTTACAACTTCAACTGCACCAAGCAGGAGGAACACACCTAATCCCATTGTATTCTGAATACAGTGATCACAAAGGCTTTCAGTTCTGTACTAAACACTGTTTCCCAGGCTGTGAGACAAGAAGCATAACAAAGTAAATGTTATAAAAACTCAGACTTTTATGTCCAGGTGTCAACAATTTGCTCTTAAATGTGGCCCTTTTTTACCATTTTTCTGATATTGTGGGAATTAAGTATGAAAAAGGGCCACTTTCATAAGTAAATAATAGCTCAAATAATAAAAAGAGACAATTGTGTCCTGTAAAACCTTTACACCAACAGTGATTATTAACTGCGGGTAATGGGTAATTCTTATAAGTAATTTCTGTATACTGGAAGGTGGAAATCTGTTCTGAATATGGAATCAGATTTTCACATCTTAAATGGTCTTTTTCAACAGTGTTAGCAAACATTTCTCTGTTAACACGTTTTATTTGTATGTTTCTTTAATGCTGTGAGACATGTCAAATATGGATTTTGCTTAGTTCTTACCCTCATAACAGCCACTGCACATCGTCAGCTCATAAACAAACAACACATTACCAGACACAGCATTACTCTTAAAAGTGCATACTAAAATTAAAATTAAACAAATACAACTCCATTAAATTACCTGTTACATGGATTATTAAATTGCCTTCATTATCGCTCATTTTGTCACTTTCACACTAATTTATGTAGAGTTATAAATGGACCAAAGGTTTAGAAGCCAACTCGACTTTTAGGTAATTAATTCAGAGACAGTGTTTTTACTCTCAGAAAGTCTGGCGTTATTTAGTAGGTTTATTTTGAGCTGGAGAAGCAGTGACAACAAACAAGGGACCTCATGTTGAAACAATGAAACCAGCTGTGTCAGAAGGAGTGTAAGTGGATGCTATTCAAAACTGTTAACAGGATATCACCATCAGGAAAGCCTGTGTAGCACGGAAATAATGAAAACATAGGACTCAGAATGGACCTTATGCCAGTGTGGTAGTGTTAGCAGTGTCTCTAATGCCATCTAGTGGCTGTCTGATCACAGAACAACTTATAAAAACCAAACAAATTTTTTGTCAGCTTAAAACTTAAAACATTATATAATATATAAAGTATTATATTATATTTCTTATATATTATATAATATATAATTTAATATGTTACTTTTAGTTCTTATTAGAGTTTTTCCATTTCTGTAGTATCCCACTATAGTCAGTTTGGCATATGCTAATGAGCTTCAAACTACTCCCTGACTTCATCCTCCGCCTCATTCTGCCCACTCAAACTCAAAGAGATGAGAACATAGTAGCAAGCAACAATGTCTGTAACAATGTGTCCTTGTGCTGTTATTTCATTTTTTTGCATAACCAGCTCTGTGTATGTGGTGTGTATTTAGTATGCACTATTACACTGGTGCCCTCCTACATCTCTGTGTTTGAGACAAACTGGTCAGTCACAACAGAAGAAAGACATCAACTACTTGCATCATATGGCTACTCTCCATCACTAGAAACACACAAATGATTAACAAACCATCACATCGTCTGTGGATAACAGATTAAAGTAAGTGTTGAAGAAATTTGTGTAAGATATGTTATTGAAAGGACTACATTTTGACTGCTGTGTAAATTTTCTGATACTACTTTATGTCTTAGCAAATTTGAAATGTGTCTCTATGAAGTTAATTTCCTGAAGTTGATTTCATCTTTGCAGCATACCTATTGGAAGAAAAAGAAAGGACACTGAGGAGAAGAAGTGCCTTTGAGGCAACTGCTGTTGTGATTTGGAGCTATATAAATAAAATTCAGTTGAACTGAACTGAATTGAAGGGACCCATACAAACAGCTTAAAATTCCTTTAAATGACTGGAATATAGTGGAGAAGAAAAGAAAAAAACTGAACCAGGGTATTTCAAAGAAAAGATCACTTTTGGGTATTTTTTTTTAAAGTTTCATAAGCAACAATGGCATCAACAGGTCTTCAGCTGATGGGTTTGGTGCTGGCTCTGCTGGGTTGGGTTTGCGGGGCGCTGGTGTGTGCTGCTCCTCTGTGGCGTGTATCTGCATTCGTAGGTGGAGAGATAGTCATTGCCCAGGTGTTGTGGGAAGGACTGTGGATGAACTGTCTATCTCAGACCACAGGACAGATCCAGTGCAAGACCTATGACTCCACCCTGGCACTGCCTATGTTTACCCAAGCAGCCCGGAGCCTCGCAGTTCTGTCTTTACTTCTCTGTCTTCTGGCCATCATCCTCGGGGTGTCAGGAGCCAAGTGTACTCACTGCATGGGAGACAATAACCAGGACTCCAAGGCAAGACTGGGAAGGATATCAGGGGTGCTCTTCATTGTGGCTGGGCTTGCCTACTTGATACCCATCTGTGGAACTGCCTATGCAATCATCAGGGACTTCTATGATCCAAATGTTGCTGCGCCTTTGAAAAGAGAACTGGGGCCGGCATTGTACTTGGGTTGGGGGGCCAGCATACTGCTCCTGGTGGGGGGAGCTCTGCTGCACATCGGCTCTCCTCCACCAGGAGCAAGAGCTATGCCCATTATCGGAAGACCAGCAAAAGACAACCAACAAACAGTAGCAACAGGAGAGGTAAAGCAACAAGAGAAATCCTTTGTATGAAACCAGTGGGTATTTGAACAGATACAGAGGTCACAACTTCATTATTTAAGTTTCTGGAAACTGCAAGGTCATTATCTACAAGGGGATATTCAGAACATAATAGGTTTCATAGTATTATAAAGTTAAGTTTGGTTTGTTAAATTAAGTTTATTTAATAAGGTGGAAGGCTTATGACTTTTTTTTTACCCTCAAAAATGATATAAATTGCATGACAAATATTTAATGACTAAATTGCAAAAATATGGCTTATGTAACAAATGTGATACAAATTAAAACTCATATATGCAGATTAAAATTTGAAATAATTTTATATATATTTTGTCTAAAAGTTCAACAAACACTCCATTATCAAAAAAAGAAAAAAAAGATTTCTGGCAGTTATTTCATCATTTAGGTTTTAAAGAACTAATTAATCCTAATTTGAACAAGCTGCTAAGGAAATGGATAGAAGGGCTTTTTAAAAGAGTAGAAAGTGAAATGAGTTGTGGGTGGATTGCAGATGTTTACTAATGCATGTGACTTACATTTGTCAGATTCCAATCAGCCTCTGCTTGTGTTTGTGCGTGTGTGTGTGGGGGCTGTCTGTGTACAGAAGACCAGTGTACATATTGTAGCTGTGTGAGCTGGTGTTTGCACTGAAAATATGTGTGGGCAGTTGGAGCAATGCCATTTACTTTTAACACACACAAAGAAATGGTTAAATTTCATTTTAGTCTGCTATTATTAGATATACATTTTATAGCTTGATGACAGTTGGGACTTTTTCCACTAGTAATAATTATTGATCTAAATGTTATTTCCAGTAAACACAGTTTTTCTATTTTAGTATAATAAAACAAATACATTTT